GTTTAGGGTTTAGGGTTAAGTATAATAAGGAACCCTGAGGAATAATATTTGTAATTATTTAGGCTCCTTATGACTTTTCTCAACCTGCCAGGTCCTTCAAGATAGAAGGGTGCCATACAGGATTAGGGTTTAGGGTTTAGGGTTTAGGGTTTAGGGTTTAGGGTTTAGGGTTTAGGGTTTAGGGTTTAGGGTTTAGGGTTTAGGGAAACCAAAAACATAAAGGAGTGAGGGTTTAGGCTTGCATGCACACAAAACCCCAAACCCTAAACCCCTAAACCCCTCAACCCTAAACCCCAAACCCCTCAACCCTAAACCCCTAAACCCTAAACCCCAAACCCCTAAACCGTATCCCCCCAAACCCTAAACGTCCGAACCCTAAATCCCCAAACCCTAAACCCCAAGCTCTTTCAATTGCAGCAGGTCATCTGGGTACCGGACGAAGCCGCCGACTGCTGCATGTCTGAGCCCCTCAGATTGGCATTCCCAGAGACTCCAGCATGCCATGGTTCAGGCTAGAATCCATTTCAATAGCTTCAGTAGGGTTTAGGGTTCAGGCTTTAGGGTTTAGGGTTTAGGGTTTTCAGTAGGGGTTCTTAACAACTGAAAAGCTGTTTATGTGGTTTCTGACAGTTTCTTTCCGAGGGTCCTTATTGTAATGTATGGAGAATCCTTTCTTCGGCCATTTCGGAGTCTTTTTGGCCCGAAGCCCTGAAACACGGAAGCCCCAACACCCTCAAGCCTTAAACAGCCGTCAACCTAAGTCCTGAACCCTAAACCCTAAACCCTAAACCCTAAACCCTAAACCCTAAACCCTAAACCCTAAACCCTACGACCCGAAACGTTGGAAAAAAGCTCCTAGTTGGGGTTGAGTGCTTGGAGTGCTTCAGGGCTAAGGTGTTGAGGGTTTAGGGTTTAGGGATTTAGGGTTTAGGGTTTAGGGTTTAGGGTTTAGGGTTTAGGGTTTAGGGTTTAGGCTTTTCTTCTTGTATTAGCTTACTGAGGGGTTTTATTCGGGTTCAAGGGTTCGAAGGTTCAGGTTTCAGGGTGTTTTCGGGTTCAAGGTTTCGGGGCTTTTAGGCTCCAGCGTTCGAGCGTTCAGGGTTTGGGGCCCAGCCATTCGGTTTTTTTTGGGTTGCCGGTGCCTAGTTTGATTTGGGGAGTTTGGATTTCCGGATTCCCGGGTTCGGGATCTCCAATTTCAATCAAAGCACCCTAAACCCTAAAACCTAAACCCTAAACCCTAAACCCTAAACCCTAAACCCAACTCAAAAGCAGCAGTGATCTGGCGTCGAGAAGACCTTCGTAGGAACCTGAAAGGGGGCACTCTGAAAGGAGCCAGGGGTTTAGGGTCTTTAGGGTCTTTAAGGGTTTAGGGTCTTTAAGGGTTTAGGGTTTGGGGTCTTTAAGGGTTTAGGGTTTAGGGTCTTTAAGGGTTTAGGGTTTAGGGTCTTTAAGGGTTTAGGGTCTTTAGGGTCTTTAAGGGTTTAGGGTTTAGGGTCTTTAAGGGTTTAGGGTTTAGGGTCTTTAAGGGTTTAGAGTCTTTAGGGTCTTTAAGGGTTTAGGGTTTAGGGTCTTTAAGGGTTTAGGGTTTAGGGTCTTTAAGGGTTTAGGGTCTTTAGGGTCTTGAAGGGTTTAGGGTTTGGGGTCTTTAAGGGTTTAGGGTTTAGGATCTTTACCCAGACCACCGGGAGGATCCAAAAAGTAGATCCCTCAAAGGGATTCCTATAGAGTACCCCTTGGTAGCACTGGGTCCCAAACTAGGGGATCTACTTTTTAGATCCTAAACCCTAAACCC